AAGCACAGGACGCGCGCGCTTCAAGTCGACTGCAATTCTACACTATCCGTGTGCAGTACAATAGCGTTCCAGCTCGTTCATGAAACTGGTGTTGAAATTAAGGCGTGGACATGTGACGGCACAAAATGTAACCTTGCCATGGCTGAAGAATTGGGCTGCTGTCTTGATCCACTAAATTTACAGACTAAAATATTAGATCCTTATACTGGACAAGAGATTTTCTTTTTTCTAGATCCGTGTCATATGTTGAAACTGGTTAGAAATGCGTTTGAGTTTTACGAATATTTTTTAACTTATCGATCTGGCCATGAAAAAAAAATAGAATGGTCATATATCACAAAGTTGCACCAACTACAAGAGGAAGAAATGTTTTATTTAGCCAACAAATTAAAAGCGAACCATATTTATTTTAAGTCAAAAATAATGAATGTCTCATTGGCTGCCCAACTTTTCAGTCAGAGCGTAGCTGACGCATTGATTTTTTGTGCTGACATTATGAAGATGCCTTCTTTCAAAGAAGTAACTCCAACCGCTGAATTTTTAATTTTAATGAACGATATATTTGATGTCCTCGATTCAAAAACTTGGTCCAATGCGTACAAACAGGCATTAAACTCAAAAAACTATCAAAAGGCATTTGACCGATTAGATGAAGCAAAAGCTGTCATAACTAACTTATCTGTGGTTATTCCTAGGGGAAACACATTAAAAAAGTAAATATATTAAAATCTCCAAGACACACAGGTTTTTTAGGTTTTTGCGTGTGCATTGAAAGTGCAAAAAGTTGTTCAAAAGTTTAGTGTTAGACCAAGGCACAATACTTACGTATCTGCCCTTACATAAGATCAGCCAAGATCATATAGAAATTTTTTTTTCCAATGTTCGTAGCCATGGCGGGTATAATGATAATCCCACAGCGCGACAACTCGAAGCAATATTATATAAGAAACTATTGGTACACACAGAGCTAAACCGAAATGAACGAGGTACAAATTGTATTCCTTTAGAAAAAATATCAATTTTAGATTGTTCTTCAGGGATAAAAAAAATCAACGACACATCTTTGTCATTCTGTATTAATTTAGAGGCAGATAAACAATTTTCCATCACAGAGGAACAGATACTTACAGATATAGATAGCTACACATACTTATCTCCTTTCGGCGAGGAAGTAGTGAAATACATAGCGGGCTACGTGGTTTTATCTATCATTAAAAAAATCAAATGCAGTATCTGCGTCAAGGCTCTTTTAGGCGTGCAGTGTTAAGAAAGCTTGATTTATCAAAAAAGTAGAGGTGGCTTAATGTATTCCTCAGAAGAGGTAATATCCTTATGTCGCTTTTGTGAATTCGAGATTAGAGCCACACTTACGTCGGATAAAAAAGTTGATCCTAAATACAACACTAAACGAATTGTTATTCAAACTTTAAAAAAACTTGTAGGGAAAACACTCTTTCATTCTATTGAGGAACATTATTTTGACAACGATTATGTGACGCATAACATAGAACTGGCAAAGGTTGTTATGGAAAAATATGTAAACACGAGAATCACTTACCTTTCTAAGAAAAAGGATCCAAAAAAATGTATCCGTCATATATTCACAAAACTCATTCACTTCAAAAAATCAATAAAAAGTTTTGCTGGATTTGCAGATTTAAATAAAACTTATCAAAATCCGCTATTTTGTAAGTAATAATAGTGTTCTTATTATTTCATACATGAAACTAGTACCTAGTATAAAATAAAATTGTGTTTTCTTATGTCGTTTCAAATTTTTAAATTCAAAATCATCATGGGATTTCAATTACGCTATTTAAAAAAGTAGTAGCAATAAAAATATTTTTTTTAATGTCAAATGATTATACAGTTACATGATGTTTTCATATAAATAAATACTTTGATTGACAATGTGTTTAGAAACCCCCTGTTGTACAGCAGTACATGTAACGTGTAAAGATACGATTTCTTTAAATGTGTGCGTTGCGGTTACTCTTGTGTAAGCAAATTAGGTTTGTGTGCGTGTGTACAAACATTGTGCAATTTGTTTCTGTAGTAAAATTTTGTCTGTGTGAGTGCCTCGTCCCCCGCCGATGTTTTGGCAGAAAAAATAATTAGCATCGTTCGAGTGATGGCGTCTCCTTTCTGGCTTAATACTCTAAGGGTGAGATCTATAGTGCGCACTTGGACTTTGCTCAGACTTACCTTACGAAAAACTTTGCTTAGTGTACACTAAGGTTAAACTATGATTTCGTATTTATAGACATTTTAACGGTGAGATTAAGCTAAGCCCAAGCTAAGACAGAAAATGTCAAAATACAAATTGATGTTTCATTTCATGCAATACTTTGTTTATTATCCTTTAAAAAAGTTAACAATAACAAATATTTAAAAATCTAAAACGGTACACATATATCTTCAATTTATTGTTATTTATGTATTCATTTATTTTATTATTGCAATAACTAGAAATTCACGAGTAACCTTTAGAAAATGTATTAATTATTTAAAGATGACAATAATTTTATTACGTAGAACGGATTGCAATGTTTTGACAACAGCAACAGAGCACTTGTATCAACTATCAACAATTGAAAATTTTAAACCACTTTAATTTATTAAATTGATCTTTCTTTCGTTTTGTGATTTGGCTTTGTTACATGGACCGCTTGGAAATATCAATATCGAAAGTGACATGATGGAGAGAGAGAGTTCTATCTTCAATAGAAAACATTGAAAGGGTAGGAACTGCAGCCGATATGAATCCACGAATGCCTAAAGTGTTGTATATGTTCGGAACTAATAAAACCAAAATCCTTCCATCCTGTACGGTGAGAATGAATTCAAAAGAAGGAACCGTATTTTGAAACACACGGTATTAAATGTGATCCTGACGCTGATCATTACAAACTTGCAACCTTATAACAACAGAGGATCGCCAAACCTACCGCAATTGCAAATACTTATTGCATTAAGGCATAAAAATGCAACTGGATGTTTTCAGGTAATATTGTGTTCATAAATATGTATGGTTTTTCAATTTGATATATTATACCTCTTCTCAAATGATTTTAAATAGTACATATGTTGAAGACTTTTGTCTTCTGACTTTCAAACATAACATATATGTGACTAATAATACTTTATTGACATTACAGATGGTGTGTGGTGATCTGAACAGCATAAGCCAATCTACAGTCTGTTTAATTATAAATAAAGTCTCTGCAGAGTTGAGTAAATTACTTCCTAGATTTGTAAATTTTCCAAGAAATATGAACACAGCCAAAACGAAGTTTGAAGAATTAGGAAGATCTAATACTCCCCATGGCCTAAACAGCATAATCGGAGCTATTGACTGCACCCATATAAAAATTAATAGACCCAAAGGTATCGCTCACTCTGAAGCATACAGAAATAAAAAAGGGTATTTTTCTGTAAATGTGCAAGCAATAATAGGGCCTGATATGGAAATATTTGCTATAGTGACTAGGTGGCCTGGCAGTTCACACGACAGCAGGATATTTAGAAAATGCCTGTTTTAGTAGGTGACAACGGTTATCCAGCACTTAACTTCATGTTAACAACACTTTTAAATCCAATGACAAGAGCTGACAATATTTATAATTATTCTCAAATAAGAACTAGGCATATTTTTTAAAGGTTTTTCGGAGTGTGAAAAAGGAAATTTCCATGTTTACAGCTAGGACTACAGTCTAAATTGACAAATACTAGTTATATATAATTATAGCTTGTGCTGTATTGCATAATATAGGTATACAGAGAGGCGATGCTTATGATGATGGTGATCTTGCTGACAGCAGAAGTTGAGTAACACAGAAACAATGAAAGATCTCCTACAGGTCTAGCATTCCGGCAATCTGTGATTGCACAATTTAACTAGGTAATTTGTTTGGTAATAAAGAATATCAAAACAAAACTTGTTTCATTTTAATCATTTATTTTCTGATTCTTTTTTTAAGTGTAATACATATTTCTAATACTAATTTATATTTTTGTTGAAGAAATTCTATTTCTAACAGATTTTTTAATTTCATATGTTCCACTCCTATCTCAAATTTTTTAGGGTAGTCAGGTAATAAATGGTAGAAGATTCAGGGAAACGAAAATAACAGATGTGAAGCGAGAGACATCGGTTAGGTTACAGTTTGAATTTCGTTGTCACTTTCACTATAATATGCCAGGGCTGCCAGGTGACATACAAAATCACACCAGTTATTTTTAAGATTTCTCAAAAATGGGGTTTGAACAATTACATAAATAATATAAATAAACAACAATAAATACCATAATAATGTGTAATTATTTTAATTCATGCATTTCATAGGTATTTATCAAGATCATTTATAATTTCTTTCAATTCAAATTCTATTTTTCCCAAAGTCTATGGAACTCCGATACAAAATGGCAACACCGTTCATTAAAAACCGACAAAAATAAAAAGTCCAGTAAAAGATATGATGGTAAAGCAAATTTTGGGCCATTATTTTTGTTAGGCTTATAGTCAAAGTTTTTGGTAAGTCGTCGATTTCGTGGACTTGAGATTAAGCTAAGCCAACACTAGGGAGAGATTCGTAGTTTGCTCTATAAATACCGACTGTGTCTTAGCTCGATAGTTAAGTCAGAGCAAAGTCTAAGTGCGCACTATAGATCTCACCCTTAGGTTATGGGTCAAGCTTTGAGTATTAAGCCAGAATTAATACTCAAAGGGGTCAAGCGATACCAGCGCTACTAGGGGCGAAGTTTGGCAGTTTTCTTCTCCATTGATACGATTTTAGAATTTAAATTGACGTTTGTGGGAAAAAACCCCGAGCAATGAAAGTTCAAAGTTGACCGCACGGTACTTTAAAAACGTTATATTATATTATATCAGATTAATAAATATCTATTATAGGGTGCAGAGTTAGAGTGCCAGCTGCAATTTGTTTATTATTTTAATGATTATTATTGTTAACTGTGCTTAGTAATAATTTGTGATAATTATGGAAACTGAAAATGTCGAAGAAGAAATTGATGGATCAATTCACAGTATTCATGTTCGAAATTTTTTCTGCCATGATAATTTAGAAATTAAATTTAACCGTAACGTAAACTTTATCGTTGGACGTAATGGGAGTGGAAAAAGTGCAATATTAACGGCTTTGGTGGTCGGTTTGGGAGCTAGAGCTTCTGCCACAGACAGAGGAAGCAATCTTCATTGTAAGTACTCATCGCATCGTGAAAATATTTAATTTAACTATTTCTAGAGATCAAAAGAATATCAAGATTGTCTTTCATATACTATTTATTATTTTACAATTATACCTTGGATTACTTTAGCCAATACATATTTAATAATTTACATTGTGTTACATTTCAGTTTCTTGAGGTTCTTAGTTTTTTTATTTTTATTTCAGCATTTATCAAGAAAGGGACAAACTCGGCAACAGTAGAAATAAAACTCAGGAATAGTAGCCCAAGAGCTTTTAAACATGATATTTATGGAGATTTCATTACAATTGTGAGAACACTTAATGCTTCTGGCGGGTCCAGTTATAAAGTGAAATCGGCTTCAGGTATATATGAGATTTATTTACTAAGATCTGAGATTCTTTTATTATTTCAATGTTTGTTAAAGATTTAAATATTTATACTAAAATATATGTAGGTATATAAATGTGGATATTATGTGAAGTCTATATTTTAAGGATCTATTTATTATGTGGTTTAATTGAGTACTTTTTAGGGGAGGTGATTTCAACAAAATTTGACGAAGTAAAAACAATTATCTTAGCATATGACATACAAGTGGACAATCCAATTTCTGTGTTAAATCAGGATACAGTTCGCACATTTCACACCTGTGATGCTAAGAAAAAATATGAGTTATTTAGACAAGCTACAAACTTAGAACAGACTGAAAAAAATTATAAACATGCCCTTGAGAACTGTACCAAAGCTGTTGGTATTTGGAATAGAAAAAATGAGGTAACTTTTACTGAATTTAGGTAGGAATATATTATTATTATCTCTATTTTTTATTCTTCTCTTCTATCTGTAACTCCAGTTTTCTGTATACTAGGGGGCTTACTATTTTTAATCAAGATTCATCCTTTATTCATTCAGTTTAATAGTGGTAAGTCAATATGACATCCATTTAATTTTTACAAGTCGGACATAAGGTCATAGATGAGTTTATATTGATTAGATACAAGATTTTTAGTACACCATATTGGTACACAGAGCATAAAATTTCAGGCTGTACATGCTAGATTTACTTAACATTATATTATAGACTATATTCTTTCCTCTGCATTATATTTGTTTTATTATATACCTTATTATAATTTCAATACTCAATAATCACCTGAAAAGTTATTGATCCCAGGCGGTACAAGAGCTTAAAAAGGAGTATCTGAAGTGGAAAAACATACATGATCAAATGCAGTTCCGGGATGAGATTGAAGCTAAGAAGAAGGCTCTACAAGATGAGTACTACTGGAGTGAGATAGCAGAATCTGAACACGAGATGAACAATATACACACACATTGTGAAAAGCAAAGACTTCAGGTGCAGCAATTGATGGATGACCTCAAAAGTGTGGAGCAAAGTTATGGAACAAATACCTCTGCAATTGAGTAAGTTTATTTAAATCTAAACACCAGCCATCTCTCACTGACTACAACTGCTGATTTAAAACATAATATTTAATAAATTAAGTTTCTAAGTTAAACTTAACCATATGTTGTACAAAATATTTTTGTGCTTAGTTTTATGGTACTGTTTATGATATAGAACAGGCCCTTAAACTTTTATTCATGGTTTAATTTCTTTAGATATAAAAAATATATATTTTTACCTACATGCCTGTATGTATAATATTACTGTTATACTTATTTAATTTCAGTTCATTAAAACAAACTCTAGAAGAGTGTACTCAGAAGAAATTAACTCTTGAACAAGAGTTACAGGAGTTGGAGAATAACTTTCGTACAGAACAGAGCTCACAACGGAGTGCTCAACATACAGGACATAAACTTAATGATCTGTTAGCTCGTGAAAAAAGAAAGTTCGATGACCTCGAGCGGGAGATACACAATATAGAGTAAGCTGTTTTTTTATATCACTCCTTAAAATGTATAGAGATTTTTGATTCTGTTAATATTATGCAATGTATATGTCACCGTAAAATTGTAAGCACCGTTAGATTGTAATCTATCTCGCGAGATTGTGAACTGTCGAAAGATGTCCATTAAAATGGCAACTTCCATTATCATTAATGAACTTCTAAATTAACAATGAAGAGTATATATATAATAATAATAATAAAGCAATTTGAAAAAGGGTTTGTACTTATATTAACTTTTAAAACTTCTTAAGCTTAAAATTCAAAAACAAAAAGATAAGGATTGAAATAAAAAAAATTAAATTATGGCTGGATCTCCACAGATCCGGCAGTTGTGCCTCCCAACGCATAGAACTAGAGGCAAGGGCAGAGAAGTGTCAATCTGCAGAAACGGCGGCGCGAGCGCGTTATGAGACCCAGAAGAACGATACTGGGCAGTCAAGGAGCAGTGCAGCGCATGCGCAGCCCAAAGCCGACCGAGCGGATGAACGTGTAAGGGCGCAGAGGAGTCGACTTGGTAAGGATACTGTGGGAATACTTATTAGATGTAAAAACTTAGTAACCATGGTAACTATCTTAAAGCTGTTTAACTGTGGATATAACGTAATATGATTATATTTCGAATAAATTTTTAAAATTAGTATTAATTATGATTTAAGTGTCCATTTATATTTAAAAAAAACAAGTTGCCTAAATTCATAAGAAATTGAAAAAATATACAACAAAATGGCCATAAAGCTTCCTTAGAATCAAAATTCAAAGTCAAATTCAATACGTTTTGAGTCATGTACCGTTTTTCGCGTGGAACGTCGCATCATGCTTGCGGCATTTGCCTTGAGCCTAAACGACCTGCCTTCTTTGATTTCATGTGTAGTTCAACTGAAGCAACAACTCCGTGAACTAGAATCTCAAGGGGATGACTCACTAGCGGTGTACGGGGGGAATATGGTGGAACTGTGTCAACTGGTTAAGGCCGCCGTCGCGAGGGGAGAATTTAGTGCTCCACCGCGCGGGCCCGTTGGTAAGAAACGGAAATATATATATGTATTTCCACAAAATTCGTAATATTTTTACTAATGTTAACTACTAAACAGTAATTCCTACTCCGTGACATTTACTTAATAATATTAAATGAACTCAGGTAGAACATAAACAGATCAACTTCGAATTAAATTATGATAAAATATATAACTTTAAATATCGAAAATTGTATAATTTAAAATATGGGACAATTGTGTAAATTAAATTACAGTTATGACATATGTAAGAAATGTTATGTTAGAATTTTTTTAGGCGTCGGGACGTGACGACCCCATCGCCCACTGGTGAAATAACCTGTGACAGAGGTTATTTCATCAGCGCAATCAGTCAACCCCTTCCTAGTGGGAGTGCCATGCTGTTGCCTTCGGGCTTCAGCCAAATGGGCAGGCACGACCGGGGCAGTACCACTGTCTCTCAGAAAACCGGCGTGAAGTGATGCAAAAGGTTCGCCTTCTTGTACTCGCGTTTCGTGCGGTGAGAGAGATTCCCGGAGCCCATCCCCCCCACACACACAAGAAATATGAAGGTGCAGAAAAACAGAATCTACCCCAGGGGGTACCACACGCGCTCGCGGTGGAGAATCCCCCTCTGGGCGTCCACCACCGGGACACTCAGCACCCGGTGGTGGACGCACAGGCTGCCCTTCGTATTCTGGGGGGGGCAATTCTGCGCTCTACAAAAATAGTAATCGTCCTCGGGGCAAACGGAGCAATTATACAAAGGCACCCCCGTCCACACTCGCCGTGGACTTCACAAATGTTAGGGGCTTAATTCTAACATCAACGCTGTCCACTATCATCTAGAGACTGCGAAGCCGGCCTTGCTCTTTCTTACCGAGACTCAGATATCCTCCCCGGCTGATACTTCCCACCTATCCTACCCGGGGTACAAATTGGAACATTCATTTGTGCCGCGGGCTGGAGTTTGCGTGTACGTCAGAGAGGATATCTGTTCTCGTCGCCTCGGGACGCTTGAAGGAAGGGACCTATCTAACCTCTGGCTGCGCGTAGACTGCGATGACCATCCGCGATTCTACGCATGCCTGTATAGGTCCCATAGCGGAAATACCGAAACTGACCGACTCATTGAGCACATCCAAATGGCTACAGATTCCCTGCTCGAAAGGGTTCCTACCGCTGAAATCGTGATACTTGGCGATTTTAACGCCCACCATGCCGATTGGCTCGGCTCTGAAACCACCGATCACGCGGGAAGATCCTTTCACGACTTTGCTTTAGCCTACGACCTGACACAAATGGTCCCTGCGATTACGCGAATACCAGATGTGGATGGTCATAAACCCTCTTTGTTGGACCTTCTGCTGACTTCTCATCCGGAGAACTATCAAGTCTCTGTTGACCCGCCATTGGGTTCATCAGATCATTGTGTGGTCCGGAGTACTGTGCCATCTACGCGCCCTTCACGGCCCCGCTTTATGGGTTGTCGCCGTATTTGGCACTATAAGTCAGCAGATTGGGACGGGATGCGGTCTTTCTTTGCGTCCTACCCTTGGGGGCCTATGTGCTTTTCGCCGGAAGCTCCAGATTCCGTCGCCGCCTCTGTCGCCGAAGTGGTTCTGCAGGGCATGGAACTCTTTATTCCATTTTCTGCGGTGCCGATCGGTGGCAAGTCTCAGCCCTGGTTTAAACGTTCTTGCAAGGCGGCCTCGCGTCGAAAGCGAGAATGCTTTAAGGCATGGGCGGAAGCGGCGAAATCTTGTGATGCCAATACCAGCGAACTTAAAAAAGCATATAACTCAGCCTCCAGGTCCTTCAAACGGGAAATCACTAAGGCAAAGTCAGAGCACATTGCCAGATTTGGCGAGAGATTGGCCCAACTCCCATCAGGGACTCGAGCCTTCTGGTCTCTCGCCAAAGCTGTCCAAGGGAATTTTTGTCAGCCCGCCATTCCGCCACTGCACAGGGAGGATGACTCTCTGGCCCACACTGCGAAGGAGAAGGCTGACCTTTTGGGCTGTCTCTTCGCGTCTAACTCGACTTTGGATGACCGAGGGAGATCACCACCGACCATTTCGCGGTGTGATTCTTCGATGCCGGAAATCACATTCCGGCAACGTGCTGTCCGCAAAGCACTATCTTCCTTGGACATTCATAAGTCGAGCGGGCCGGATGGTATCCCCCCAATTGTGCTGCGTACTTGTGCTCCTGAGTTGGCTCCGGTCTTAACGCGCCTTTTCCGGTACATGTACTCGCTCGGCACTGTCCCGAAGTGCTGGAAGACCGCTTTGATACATCCGATCCCTAAAAAAGGCGATCGCTCTGATCCGTCCAACTATCGCCCAATAGCTATAACCTCCTTGTTCTCCAAAATAATGGAATCCATTGTTAATTGCCAGCTCTTGAGGTATCTAGAGGGCCACCAGCTGATTAGCGATTATCAGTACGGCTTTCGTCGTGGTCGTTCGGCTGGTGACCTTCTTGTATACCTTACACATAGATGGGCAGAGGCAATTGAGTCCAAGGGGGAGGCGCTAGCGGTTAGTTTGGACATAGCGAAAGCCTTCGATCGGGTGTGGCACAGAGCACTGCTCTCGAAGCTTCCAGCCTATGGGCTTCCCGAGAAATTACGCAATTGGATCTCCAGCTTTCTGGCCGATCGGAGCATCAAGGTCGTCATCGACGGAGCATGTTCCGACCTAAAACCCGTAAACGCTGGGGTCCCACAAGGCTGTGTTCTATCCCCGACCCTATTTCTTCTGCATATCAATGATATGTTGAAACTTAGCAACATTCATTGCTATGCGGATGACAGTACTGGGGATACTTTTTACACTGGCCGGGCAGGTATTTCTCGGGCAGTTGTTGATGAGTACCGGAACAAACTTGTGTCTGAAGTTGAAACTCTACTTCGTGGAGTCTCAGATTGGGGCAGACAAAACCTAGTCCAATTTAACCCCAAGTAGACACAAGTTTGCGCGTTTTCCGCTAAAAAAACACCCTTTGTCGCTACTCCTCTTTTCGAAAACACTCTTCTTAAAGCCACAGCCAGCATTGGAATACTTGGCGTTGACATATCGAGCGACGTTCAGTTTCGCGGTCACTTGGAGGGAAAGGCTAAATTAGCCTCCAAAAAGCTTGGTGTGCTCAGTAAGGCGAGACGGTACTTCACTCCGGGCCACCGCATGCAACTATATAAAGCGCAAATTCGGCCCCACATGGAGTACTGCTCTCACCTCTGGGCGGGGGCTCCCCAGTACCAGCTCCTTCCACTTGACCGTATACAACGCAGAGCGGTTCGAATCGTTGACGACCAATCCCTCTCCGAGCGGCTTGATCCTTTGGCGTTGCGTAGAGATGTGGGGTCACTCTGCATCTTCTACCGCATTTACCATGGAGAGTGTTCAGAGGAGTTGTTCGGATTAATACCTGCAGCTGAGTTTCATCATCGGACGTCGAGGCAGAATACGAAATTCCACCCGTATCACCTCGACGTCCGACGTTCCACAACTGAGCGTTTCTCAAGGCAGTTTTTGCCGCGCACCACCACTATGTGGAACCAGCTGCCCACTGAAGTATTCCCGAACCAATTCGACTTAGGGTCCTTCAAGAAAAGAGCGTACCAATTTTTAAAAGGCCGGCAACGCACTCGCGAGCCCTCTGGCATTGAGAGTGTCCATGGGCGGCGGTATCACTTAACATCAGGTGAGCCTCCTGCCCGTTTGCCCCCGTTCTATTAAAAAAAAAAAAAAAAAAAAAATTTAAACAAGGGGTTGATGATTCTCAATATGAAAAGTATCATGACATTTGCAGGTATATATTTAAAAGTAAAAGATAAGAAATGGGGTGGGGCCTTAGAGCATATAATCAAAGGGTCTCTTAAAACGTTTTGCGTCAACACGCCAGAGGACTCCAGGAAGTTGTTTGAAATCATGAGAAAGGTAATTTTTTCGTTAATTTTATTATTTAATTCGATTTGTTTGACATTAAGATTTATCAAACTCCAATGAGAAATTACGGGAACTAATAATATTGTTACGAGCTAGGGGATCGGATAGAAAACGCCGTAGGTCTCTTCAAGAGTTTATTTTCAATTAAATCTACGAGCAATTTGTTTACACGCATCGCACAATTCTAGAACGTGCGTACTCACTATCTCTTTCGCACACTGCTCCGTCCTTGTCGTACGGCGTTCTAGAGTGCTCGGTCTAGCTTCGAGAAGGTTCCGATCTTCCCTCTCTTTCGCGTATTATACCGTCCTTGTCCCACACCTAGAAAATTCGGTCTAGAATATTCCTTCAACAAAAGGGCCTTCATAACCAGGCCTGAAAACGGGTTTCCTGAAATTACCACCCGTCTACACTTGTTCTAAAAGTGCCTGAATAAATGTTTCAGCCTCCTGAAATATAGGGTAATATTCTGTACATAACGATTTTATAATAATTATGTGATTGACCCTCTCCTGAAACGGTCAGAAATCACATTTCAGCCTGCTGAAAAGTTCTCTAAGTAGTGGAAAAATCTACACAACACCGGCCATCTCACAGAGTTGATGCTTTTGAGAAATCAACAAAGCAAATAATCACGGGCTTATTAAATTCTCTTGACTTCTATATGATCTGGCGTAAAATGAGAATTTGTTCCCCTTGACAAAACCGACCTGTTCCGGAGCGATCTCCTTAGAGTGATAGGTTTTCAGGCGCTCGTTGAGAATATGTGCTTCATTGATTAATTTACGTTTAGTGAGAATTTATTGTTCTGAATTTTTTCAGTGATCATTCTTTAATTTCGCTTGGGAGTTTGTTATAAAAACGAATACAATTTCCATATAAGGAGTGGTTTATCGGAGCCTGATTGGTCGTGCGCTTAGATTTTTATTTTATTATTATGTATATATAACCATTATAATTAAAAATATTAATAATGCTCTCAGATACGTTACGGAAGGGAAGCGAAGCCGGGTGTAACCTGTAGCAAATTCCTGAGCCAAGTGCACAATGTGAGCAGACGTTCCGTTCGCGCGGGCAGCTTTACTTCGGCCCTGGATGCGTTGGACGTAAAGGATCCAGTTGTTGCCAATTATCTTATTGACAATAAAAGTCTGGAGAAAATATTGCTGGTGCCTGATCATGGTAAATATAACTTGATTCATCTTGATTACATTTTTGTAATTAATAGCTGCAAGGTGTGATTAGGAGCACGGAAATGGGTAGAAGTGACGGAGTTAATTCTTCTTGTCCGTTTTTTTTATTAATACACGTGTACATCAAATCTATATACGAGTATATGGTCTAAGATCCGGCTGCAGGATTAGTGCGCTCATCTGTTATTTGCTGAAAACCAAATTTTGAGGTGATCAACGGCACCCGTGATTTTTTTAAATCTTTATGTAAATTGCCGTGATGTAGACGATATTTTATATAAATAACAAGTGAATGAAATGTTTTCCCAAAAATCTATTCAAAATAATTTCATTAAAAATACTAGCGGCCAAATTTTGATAGGCACCTAGATATACTTAGTAGATATACATTCTCCTAATTATAAATATACATAAAAATTTGGTTTTTAGCAAATAACAGATGAGCGCACTAATCCTGCAGCCGGATCTCGTACTAATACGTAAGTAAATTATATTGATAGGCCCTTATTTTTTTACGCGCTGTGCCATTATTAATTTTTTTTTTGATATACTTTTTCCTTAAAATTACAAATCGACATTTCCGGTACCGGAACAGGCGGGCACTGTTGGTCTAGTGGACTTTCTTTATGTGCGCATTTTAATAAAACAATTCGAGGAAACCGAAATGCTTTGGACCCAAAAAGTCAATGGCGTGTGTCAGGCACCTTAAGATATATAAATAATAGTCGTTTCTTAAAAGAGAAGTTAAAAAAGAAATATATATATTTTTTTAGAGGACGCTATGCGCCTGTCTGACACTCGGGAGAACGTTCCCGAGAATTGTGTAAAGATAGTGACATTGGACAGCACGGAATATAGGCCGGCGCCTAACTACCGTTGCTATGGAGGTGCAGACCGACAACCCGTTTATCTCCAGACTAGCACTGCTCAGAGGAAAGCGTGAGTTCATTAAAATCTAATATATAACATTCTCGTGTCGCGGTGTTTGTGGTTAAACTCCTCCGAAACGGCTTGACCGATTCTCATGAAATTTTGTGTGCATATTGGGTATAACTGAGAATCGGACAACATCTTTTTTTCATCCCCCTAAATGTTAAGGGTAGTCCACCCCTAATTTTTTTGTTTTAATTTTTAGATAATTTTTTTTATTTATATACAGCATTAAAAAATACATACAACCCCTAATTTTCACTAATCGGTTTGGTAGTTTAGGAGTCCATGCCGGACAAACAACGTGACACGTAATTTATATATATTAGGATATATAATTATAATTTTTCCTGGATCGTTAGCACAGAGCATTGTAAAATACATCTACACAAAGTAAAAAAGAAAGATGTAATATAATCTTGTTTGTATAGGTTCGTGCATTTCGGAACCTTTTTTTTTCCCTCGAAATCGACTTCTGGACTAATCGTTCTGAATAAACAAGATTAGTTGACTTTTATTGTATGATATTAATTTTTGTAGACAATTACAAGCGAACATAAAAGAAGCAGAGCAAACATTACGTTCATACGAAGCAGACGCCAAAGAGTTAAACGAAGAAGCGTCGCGGGCGCGTGACATTGAGCGAAAAGCAGCGCAAGCGCTACAAGCGTTACTTGTTGATTTGAGAAAAAAGGAGGAGGAAGCGCGTCAAGCGGTTGCAGCGCTTAATCAGCAACAGGCACCGCACCACGCTGTTTTGGTTAGTTTTATTCGTTTACTCAAAATAACATTATGGCATCCGATGAAGTCTCCGTGTTGTTATATGGCGCAAAAATAGTTTGTTTGTTTATTTCACAAAATTAAAATTCTACAGAAAAATTTAATATTGACTGATAACTTAAAATAACTTTTATTAAACTGAAAATCATAAAAATTTTAAGCTTTAAAATATAATTTATAATTACAAATTTCTTTAACATAGACAATAGCTAAATAGCATAGCACTCGATTTATAATAAACAATTTAAAATTCAGGTTGATGAACTGAAAATCTGCAAAGAAAAAGTGCATTCATTGAGTGAACAAGTGAAAAGCCATAGTGGACAAGAACAAGAGTTAAATGAACGTGTAAATGACATTGAAGGGAAGATAAGAAATCTTCGGAAAAAGAGAGACAAAGTAGCCGTTCAATGTAGGAATCTCAGGGTGAGTTGAAATTTAATAAAATACATAAGCAGTATTAGCCTAGTGGCTAGAGAAAGAAGAAATTATAAACTGAGATTAATATTATTATTATTTTTCTACTATTATTATTATTACTTGGTATTTAATGACCAGCGCTGTGGAACACCTCTGCTCCACAGCATAATGCTGAGCCAGTGCCGGTTACAACACACACACATTACAAACTTAAAATGTACCTTCTGTGTGTATTTCGCTAGTAATAAATGTGTCTATGTCTTATACAAAAAAGACTGTTTTTTTAATGATTTATACGATTTCGCTATTGAAATTGTGTCTTACTTATTGCTTCTTAATACCTTCATGGCATTTTTATCTATTAACTTTACGTGCGTAACACTACATATAAACGTAAAACATGTTAATAAACTGAATTACTGAGTGCATGAGCCTCACTTATAAGCGATCTCTTTATCAAAGGCAACCTTTGTTATCAAAAAATATAAAAAAAAACTAAAAATTTAATGTAAAAATAGAAATATAAAATTTGTACTAGGTCGAAGAACTAGAATGAGTAGCCAGAAACTAGCAAACATGATTATTATTTGTCCGTATCATTTTCTACCTTTGACACCGGGACGATTATTTCTTGTAATCGAACCTGGAACCGTTATATTATATTGAATAGTCAATTTATAATGTTTTTATAATCTGAATTTGCCAATGTTGTGCATATTGGTCTACTTTTCTAAATGGTTTTTAGGATGAACTTGAGCAAGAGCAGATCAAAATGGAGGGAGGTGTGTTAAAGAGGCAGAGATACGAACACAGATTAGATGAGGACCAAAAGAAGTTGCAGAAAATGGAAGCCATTTTAGAAGAGAAGAGAGGAGTTGTTGATAAGAAAGTGCAAGAGGCTCTTACGTTGTGTCCAAGAGTTGAGAATCCCAGGTTAGACAACAATCTCAATAATAATAGGCTATTTGACAGTTTAAAAAATATGTACATTTTTATACGTCACTTGACACAAAAGGGCCACAGATTAGTCGAATCGTCGATTACGTACCATGCTTTTCAATAATATCTCTTCGTCTAATACTGTCTGGAACTATTAGGTTCTATAATGACTTATAAATAATTTTAAATTTATTTATTATATACATGATCTTAAATAGAAAATAAGTTGGTGTGGTGGAAACACAAACTGGACACAGTTTTTCTGTCCACCAGGAGGTCGAACATATTTAAATAACTAACTTATATACTGGTTGCTAACTTATTACCTAATTATTAGACTTTATAAAAATAACTTATTAAAACAAAATTAAAACTATATTAATCACGCTCTCGATTTCGTGTATTTTTGAGACTTTCAACTATAATAATAATTGTTTTATTTAAATTTAATTAAAACCATAATTAGCTGCCTCAGAAATCACTCTGTGTATTGGTAACAGTGAAATAATGAAGTGTAATAGCTATTAGTGAAAACCATAAACAAAAATCTGTTTGGTAATTTTCGAGTTTATCGCGTTTATACGGACATACGTGATACTTCTAAAAAAAGCCGGCGTAAAAAACTCTCGGTACTCTTTTAAAATAGCAAATCATCAAACAACACTTATTTTAAAACAAATATCGCAAATTACTTAGAAGTAGCCTGTCTCTCACTAGTCCCAGGCCCTTTTATCAACCAGATAATCGATAGATTTATTCAATTCAATGATAATAATTTATTCTGTTTGAAACTCATACATTTATGAATTTCATATACAAAATTAGATTTTTTAGCAGCGTCTATCAAAAGGGAAGAAAAGGAGGCTGTTAATTCTGTTTAATTATTTTTATTGAAATAATTATTGTTTCGCTGGCAATTGAGTCCTTAAGGCTTATATATTGTAAAACACGGTTTATATATACGTCTGAGAATATTCTTGTACGAACACAGTATATGTTAGTTAGGTTGGAGGCCTTTACTAGAAAATTAATTGGTCTGATAATAAATTTCAGCATAATCCTTAACTAATCATTTCTGAGTACTATATATTATAATGCTTACGCTTCATTTAAAAACAACAGCTCTTCTGGTGAAGGAATGATGAAACCAGAACATCTAAAATCCAAAACTTAGCGTGTCAAGCGTAAAGGGCTTATAATATGATTATAAAAAAAAACGTGCACGCATTAGAAGTTAGACTTCTTTGGCGTAATAATTTTCTTCAAGCACTTTAGAGGGACGTTTCCATCTTCGTATTGCATTTTTCTTGTCCATAATGGACACTTCCAATCGAAACGATATAATATGTCGCTAGCGCCAACTAGCGGCCCAAACTGTTTTACCGACGGTTAAACTGATATTCAGGGTGCTGGTTTTTTTGTGACGGTGTGCGCGCGCATCGTAAAAATTTACTCTCATATTTTTTTCCCTAACGCGCCAAAAGTATAATTTCTAGGAAAAATATCTTGGAAGCATACAGAATTCTTGTGGCAAGGCAGAGTCGTTGTCGTCACTTAAAATCTCTATTATTTTAAACATAAAGGTACTTAAGTAAGGATGTTTTGTGTTGTTTGTTTATTTACAATGTTACATTTGTATGGACAGGACAAAATATTCAATCAATATATATTTCAACTAGCAGACCGGACAAGCGTTGCTGTGGCTAAGGTTTTTGTTATATTACTCGTACATAGTAGTAAACGGGAAACGGTAGGAGAACACCAGTCTTGGAGACCACCATGCTTTTTGGTGGTTATGCCACTAAATTGTAGCTTATGTGAAACGTTGGTACATTCAACACAGCGCATCTGTTAGAATTGTAACTGTCAAATAATTTGCAATAAAATAACATTGCGGGTATAAATTAAGATGTTAGGTATCCTATCTTTTAAGTTAGATTAAACTGTACACGGTATGCAAATTTGATTGAAATCGGTTAAGTAGTTTAGGAGTCCATAGCGGACAAACAACGTGACACGTAATTTATATATATTAAGATGTATAGTTTATGGATTCTCTTTGTAGGCCTTAATTTTTATTGTAATAAATAGGGAGCGGGCTGTAGTAACAAGCGATTTAAAGGAGACTCAAATGAAGCTAAGTTCACTCACGTCGTCTGGTATGGATCGGGCGCAAGTTGCGGAGAAGTTTTTACAAGTGGGACGGAGTTATAAACGCACGCAAGATGCATTGCAGAGGCTGAATGCGTTGATACAAGATGTAAGGTTTTATTTTATTTATTATGAAATAAAATACATAAATTTACGCGACAGTGGAACACAAATTGGCCACGATTTCTCCAGCCACCGGAGCAACGTTATTAGTTTAAATTTCCTACTAAAATTAATAATATGAATATAGAAACACAAACTTTTTGATACTTATTATTCATATAAGATATATTAAATTATAGGTAACAATTTTAATAGGTGTAGGCCTAATTATAATTATTTTAATTCTTTAAGGAATGCCCTTTTTCCTTTACACAAGCCATTTGGACTTGGAGATGTATGGGCCAGAAGTTTTGGAAAGGACGTCCTCTCATCGCATTTGGGGTCTTTTGCGCCGTTTGCCTTTTGGTCCTTGATTTGACTAGTTTTTTCCATCTTCCATTTTCAATTTTTGACTATTATTTTAATTAAATTAAAGGTTTTTTATTTATATTAAATTGCCCGCATCTTAATTTATAGAAAGGTTATGAATACTTAATGTACTATTTCTAAAGTTTTGAAATATTATATGTATATTATGTTATGCATTTTGGGTTTTGTTTTTTAAAGTTAGCTTACTTATTTTAAGCTATTGCATAGCTTGTATCGTGGGCCTCGAGCGTGGAGACCGAACCCAGAAATTCCGTAACGAAAAAACCTTACGCGTTAGAGCGGGATAGAACGCATACTGCGTATTCACATCTCTCTGACGAGATCGGTGCAGCCGGTGCGCGTTAGAGTGAGACAGACTATATAGGCGAGTTAGTCTGAGTCTGGTAGAGTGGTAGATTGAATTAATTTATCAAAGAAAAATCTTGAATTAATATCAAAATAAAAAAAATACTGCATAAATAAATAATTATAATTGCATAAGTTGAAAAAAAAATTATGCAATAGCTTTACCGCGGCAGTCCCCGAGTGCCACAATTTTTTATTAATATTTTTGATGACGCACTGGTTTTTATCGATGCAGTAAAAAATTGGCTCCGAAATGTCTTTGGCCTAAGTGCTCCGGGCGTAAGGGTCCTATAATTACATAAACGATTTGAGTAAGCGCCTATTTATTTTATCAGTATGTTTTCATACCAAATTCACAAAATGCTGACTAATATGTTATTACGATCACTAGTTCAAAGTAAGGTTTCAATTATAATCCGTAGATTTTAATAATTTACTTTTCATGAAACAGATAAAGACAACTTCAAATAAACATCTGGAGTTTTGTCACAAAGTGCAAACGTACATCGCTCGCCGAGTGCAGTACCACTTTCAAGTCATACTCTCATTACGGAATTACTCGGTAAGAATTCTTATATTTCAATATCTCTTATTCAAGTTAAAAGACCTTGGGTGCGGTAATGGTTAGATAGCCATGGATTTTGTCTCACTTTATTGGCATTTTATGATTTCTATCTTCCCTTTGGCGCTTGACTTAGAAATGAGGTTTGGAAGACTGTCTGTGACTATGAACTGACCAGTGCAACAAACGAAGCTATCGTTGTATTAGTTAAATGGCGGCCCACATCCTAAAAGAGACTCATATTTTAATCAAATTACTTTGTGATCAGAAATGTAAAGTAAAGTAAAAAAAAAATTAATCATATAGGTAACACTTATGAACGTCAAAAAAAGAAATGTATATGAAATGCTTCTAACTTTACATTTAGTGGCAGTTCTCAAATCAAGGGCGTAGAACGGAAGAGAAGAACTGGCACTAAACTCTCCGCCACTCTTTAATCGCCATGTTTTTTTTACACAACGTTTGTAAGGAGCTGCAACCATTACACCATGTTCCACATGACATCTTAAGTAATAACATAAATATGTCAATGGATTTAATGTTATTTAAATGGCCACGCACTAGACAAAAGTAATGAATGGACTCGCCATAAATAAGTGTAATATACCAGACCAAAGTCAAACATTTGGGGTTCAAGGGTAAGATTCCATAAAGGTATCGAATTTTTTTTTTTTCAGTCAGGTCTCGACTCTAGATCTTACTCTAAATCATCCATCTTCATTCTCTTGGGCGGTAACATTGGACAGAATTTCTTTATGCATTGAAGAACAACTTAAAAACCACATAATATATTCAATTATATCTATCGTAGGGCAAAATGACCATCGACTTGGCTTCGGGTAGACTATACATGGAATGCAAGAGTGTACAGCAAAGTGAAAAGCAACACGCGACATCTACCGCATCGCTATCGGGTGGCGAACGATCATACGCTACTGTGGCGTTTATGCTCGCTCTGTGGGATTGTGTGGAGCTGCCTTTTTATATTATGGACGAGTTCGATGTTTTTATGGTATGTATAATTTGATTCATTAGCGTACGTAAGAAAGTTCCTAAAGCTTGCAAAATTTATGGTTTCACCCGCGCGTCTTCCTCCGCCAACTTTAGTGACGTCACCGCGCCGCAACTGTCGTGCATCTATAGTTCAATGGCGGGGCACTCGAAGGCATTTTGGCGTAGTATATGCAATACAATTAGATAAAATAGTGATATTCGGTTAACTATTTATGGCTGGGAGTGGAGAGGACTATAGATGGTGAATATAACGAGTATCAGGTTAACTACGTGGCAAGATGGCAATTTAATGACACAACGACACGGACTAAAAACTTATTGCAATATAATTATGATATTATTAGTTAGGTGCACAAGTTGAATGTAAGATGTTGTTTACTACTAGTAACTGATTTATTATTATTTTAACACAATTGCTACGAGTAACTTATAATTGTCATGCCACAACAGGGCCTTTTCTAATAATTAGTTTTATGATCTGAATTGTCATATATGTATTATCTAAAATGGAAAAACGTTGAAGAAATTTGGGATCACCTATATTCTATAGTATAGAATCTATACTAATATTATACAACCTTAAAACTAATTAATGTTTTAGTTTGTTTAGTAAACAACACTACGAAGCCGATTCTACAATGTTTTTTAGATTACACTGTCTGTTAGTCATTTTTATATTTTATCAAAAATTATAAGAACGAGTTTTCTCTAATATATTTGACCAGTGTTACATCGGCGTAACTATACCATCTGGGGCCCGTGGCAAATTCTTCTGATGGGGCCCTCTCAGTAAAAATCGTCACGTTGTACTAAGTTTAATTTTAATAAACTTGGAGAGTTTCAGCATACTCAATTACATGTTGTATATGTCCCACTAATGGCCATAGACCTCCTCTCTTAGGCGAGAGTGAATGGTCTGTAGTCCCCACGCTAGCCCAATGCGTATTGGAGACTTCACATTAATCCATAGAACATAATATCTCAATGCATTCATCATCTATTCGCTAGCTTTTCGGTGAATGAACAACATCGTGAGGAAATCGGCATACATTTACAATAAAAAAACAATTTCCTTACAATAATCTTTTTTTTCGAGCTTTCTGTTCCGCAAAAGTATCAACACCATCAAAGTTTAAAGATCGGGCCACAGAATTTTCAAAAGACAGAATAGCCAAGTTACATAACTATACTATAACGTTTCTTAAATAGGTTTTTATCGATTTTAGTTTTGAAAATTATCGTTAAGCACTAGGTGTGGTCATAGGAATTGTAAAAAATAACATTGTAATAACAAAACTTATAAAAATATACTTTTCAAATATTTTTGAGCTCGCGGCCTCTTGGGCAGGGGTCCTCTTGGGTCGGGGGCTCGTGGAATTTTGCCAGCTATGCCACCCTATTGTTACGCCACTGCAGTGTTAGTATTACTTGATTTGTTTTATTTATTTATTGGCAACAGAGGCAAATACAATTAAGGTACCTATCATGTTTAAAAATCATGAACTAAGATGTGATTATAATTTACACATACTTTTAATTTTAAATTGCAATTAATCTTTATTTTCCATTGAATAATTACGTGTTATGTATTCTTATTAATATTATAAATGCGAAAGTGTGTAAGTTTAGTTTTTGGTAATGGTGTTTGTATTTTAATCATGGTAATAACAATATTATGTCGAGCGCTGGCTCAAAGGGTAGCGTTCCCGTCTCAATGGAGCCATAACGAGTTAGCGCCTGACCGGTGAAACAAACACATGGCCCAAGTTTGCATGACATGATGGACGATACAGTGTTTCGCGTAATAAAAATGACGTAAGCGCCAAATGCTTTTTATTTAAATAACACCTAAAATAAACAATTTTTAATAAAATCGCTAAAGTAACAGCACTAAAGAGATGTAGTTCAATAAATTGTTGCCTCCATAATTGAATAAAAGCCAATTTAGGCAAAAAATAGGAAGGACTTTAAATTATATTGTGTTTTTCATTAAAGTCAACCATTGAAATTATAGTCGAGGATCAACGCGCAACGTTACGATGCGTTACTGGTTTTGAACTACGCGTACTTTGTTTTTTTTTATCCCTTCAGAACGGTCGCTCTGAGAGATGCTCATTTTTTTCTTCTAAAAATATCAAATGGATTCCACTTGAATTTTTTTTAATGGTGGTATTGGTGGTCCTCGAACATTTTCTGAACGTTACGGAGCATTATATGGGGTCAAAAATGTCCAAAAAAAATGTGTTACGTAATACTTCTCACTAAAGCAGTTCTGTAATTTTGCTTATCCTTTATTTCAGGATGATATATATCGGAAAACAACAATAGAGTTGCTGTTAGAACACGCACGGATCAACAAAAATCGTCAGTTTGTATTCCTAACGCCTCAAGACACATCCTCAGTGACGGCTGGACCAAATGTCACCTTACACGTGTAAGTAAAAATGAGTGAAGTTATAACCCTTCTTGTAATCAGCGCCATCTGTTTTTGCGAAATCTCCACGATTGAAAGTTTCATGAAAATCGCTTCTGTTTGACAGGATTACGCTTTTTTTAATTTTTCTAAGTGTGAGTTTCAAGACTAAAATCTCTTTTTAGTAAGTGTTAATTATATTAAATAATGTTGTTGCAGGATGGCAAACCCAAGAGACTAGTCTTCGTCCAATTGGAGTACGTATTTTTGATACAATTGTATACCTCATAGATAATAATTTTGTTTATATATTTTTGTAATGTATGTTTAAATTACCTCGATTTGTATCACATGGGTTTAATATAGAAAAATATATTGTGGAAATGTGAATAAAAATCCTTTGTCATAAACACCATTTATTGAATAGAATTTGCCATGCCAGTGGACTGCATATTGCAGTATGCGTCCACTCTGAGATCACACACGCTCAAAGCGTTAAACGAAGCGGTCATAACAATCAAAATTTATATTTTATAATAGTATTTACTGCGAATTATCAAAATGATCATTAACAAGCAGTTTATCGAATATAGTGCGATATAATTCAAATGTCTGAGATTAACTTAAATCCTGCGTTATATCCAAGCCGTAACCCGATTGTAGATCAAAAGAAAAAATTTGAAGAATAACAATTATTCTGAAATAACAACTTCACCAGCGCCTTTATTATTTTATGAATATAAACACTGATGGAACGTATCCCTTTGATCGTTTATATTATTAAACACAAGGAAATCTACAATCGAGCCAAGAATCTATAAAAATAACACCAAATTAACACAAGTTACAATTCGTCTAATACTCGGGAAAAGACCGTGGCCGAGTCACGTTTTAATAATCAAATATAAAATAACTTAGCCTATGTTTGTTATATATTAACATTCTAGTCTTACGAGGCGAACTCGCCTGTGATAAGCGTAATTATTGGACTTAAACTAATATGCGAGTTCTATCGGTGGCGCATTCGTTGCTAGTCTAAGGTACTCTTACTTGGTTGGGGCTGAAGTGCAGTTTTTTTTAAATAATATGAGATGACTGAATTTTGAATGAAATGACTGGCTTTAAAAAATATTTTCTTTCGAAATTCATAATCTTAATGAAGAAAGCATTGCAATAAAGCCATAACGTTAATTTGTATGCAGTTTTCAGATATCTTTATCCAGATTATCAATTTGAAAGTTATTCCGACTTTTAAGGCCAGCCTTTTCAAAGAATGTAAAAAAATATATGATACATTTGCAACAATATCAGTTTATGAAACTATGCACGTAGTTTTTCATACATTTGGAAGTTATATAATATTCGAATTCGAATTCTATGTCTAGTTCCAAATACGGTTATGAATTGCTGATAAAAAAATCTATACAGAAAATTAATGCTACGATTCTATTACGTTAAGTGTAGTAACATTATAATCTTACTTCATCCAGTCATTACTTAGCGCTAAGTATAACTTGTGTCAACTCTACGTTTTTGACACACGGAAGTCATAGTCTCAACTACAATCTTACTTTAAACGTTAAAAAATATGTAGTTTAACAAAGAGCAAAACATCAAATTTGTCGAAATATTTAATTGAAAGTAGAACACAGATTAATGATTATTAACAATTGAATAATTGACTTGACTAAATTCGTCTGTCGAATTATGTTCACGCGGACGAGAGAATCATCTTAAGTGGGTTTCGATTTATCAAAATAACAAAGTAGTTTTTAGGTATTTCCTTCACAAGGCAAGCTAAGTTCACGAATTCCCTATAGCTAGTGCTCCTTAATGCTAGAATATACATGTACTATCAAAATTAAACACAGTAACGGTCTTATTCACAATCATACTAAACCAATAATTTTGTTAGGTGTCATACAAATAAATTAATTTTGGAGGCTTAGTACATTTATGATTAAGCCCATAGTGCTTCAGCGCGCCGATAGAATCTCATATGAATTTCTTTAAATTACAACTAAAATAGATAATTTTCCTAGAAGATCTATTCTGAATTAAAATAATACAGTACAATTTTAATTATATCACTTACATAATAATGAAAAAAAATGATGTAGTGATTTAAATTATAAAACACTAAATTCTACAGTTATAGTTTAAAAATATATTATTTTTCATTTTTGGACTCATTTAAATTTATATGTATTAAATAATATATGCGATGCAAATTATTTCTTTTGATTACAAGTTCTCTCTAGTGTACAACTGCCGTACAGTCATCTCATATTTAACAGTCGATGAAATACATTTTGGAACAACTCAAAGGCATAACTTAAAATTATCTATTGACGCAAGTGTAACATTTATGAGATACACCACATTGAAATGATTTAATAGAGTAGAATTAAGTACTCTTTCATATCTTTCTATCAATTTGTCTTTAGACTGCAATGAAAAGAGATAGTGCATTTAAAACGGTGCAATTGGGCCGTATGTTTTATAAGGATGGTAAAACGGCTAATTTAGATTTCTCATATTTCTAAAAGATCTAATCTATGTACATCAGAACAATAAATAAATATTTATAGGAACATTCCGAGGTGTCTTTTGTATTCAGTTACATCAGTCCATTGACAAGCTTTTAGATTATCGATTTATATTTGGAATGTATTTAAGAATAGTTTATGCATTTATATTTCACGAAAGGAAGTAGATCAGTTAAGATTATTTATTACTGATAATACATAAGTAATATTTTGATTCGATTCATTAACTTAATGAATTGAATTTTTAAAAATATCTACAAAAGTTATGGGCACTGAAGGTATACCTTAATGCTACGTATTTATTTTTATATTTACCATTAAAACCATCAGTTTCAAGCCTGCATAGCTTAATATAACATTGTTTTTGCACTATACATTTTACCGTTTTTTTTAAAGTTCCATTAAGCTATGAACGGGCGGAAGACGGGAAAAATGTGTTTTTGTGTTACCTGTACATACTTAATTACCTTTCATTTTTAAAAGGACCATTAAATATTTCTATACCAGTTTTTAAAGTTATTTTTTGCTGGCCAAAAAATATTCATACAATAATTTTTATTATTTCTGTGATTCCGTTAAATTTGTGAAATTACCCTTCATAGCCCATATGATTAATTAGACAATGAACCTATTAAATTACCTTATATAATTTACAAATTAGTTAATTCTTATTATCTAGGTATTTACAAACAATACTAGTAAATGTACAGTAAAATGTTGTTAATCTATATTATGCTGATATCAAATGTACACAAGTTACCAAAGGGTTACTTTAGCCTATGAGACTAAGTAAAATGTGCGGAACAATAATGTTCAGACATCGGTTTTAAGGGAGCGTTCAAGTATTACGTAACGCAATTTTTTGAGATTATTGACCCCCCCCCCCATGTTACTCGCCGTAACGTTTTTCAGTACCCAAGTACAGTACTGTACCCAAGTATAGTAAAACGTTTCGTGACCACCTACCTAATGACTCTTTAGTTACTGTTATGTGGTGTAAGTCGAAAAAAATATTAACAATAACGCGTAATTTAATCCCCGCCCCGCATCGTGACGTTTTACAAATGGACCCCCCCTCCCAAAATTCGTTACGTAATACTTGAACGCTCCCTTATCTATACAGAAATTATTTATAATTACAAACATAAAAATTTTTTACGTCAGGAATTCAGTTGGAAGTAACAAACTGTTTGCCAATTTGTGTCTGCTTTTAATTAGAAGTTTTACTTCTGATTTAAGTAATATCCATTGCTTTGCAAAATTCTCGGCACAAACAAATCCTAGTTATGAGATATGTAGTTCCAAAAAGATAATATGAATGATGAAATAAGATTTTGTAAGAATAAATATATCTAAACATTGTCACTAACATTCATTGTCCAAAAAAACAAGCAAATTATTGTCAATGGTTAGTTTTGAGCGAGGTACTAATTTAGATTTGTATTGACTGATTATTTTTTCTTTTAATAAGTTAGTTTTATTCGAAATAAGCGCGTGAGCACACTTGGGACAGCTCTGACTACTATAGAAAAAAAATCCACTTTAATAGGTATATGAAAATAATGCGTCTACAAGTAATAATAAACTAATCTTATAATTTTAGAACTTCATTAACAAGTTAGAAAGTCATTCGATGCACAAGTTCATTTTAACTGAAGACGCGAACTTTCCCCTACGCGCGATAACTGGCTAAGTTACGCACATTTTTATAGATCAATGGCGAGTTGAGAAATTAAACTAATAGTTAATAAGTTATTCATTGTTTCCATTCAAGTCATAAATGAGTTAAATAGCAAACGTAGGAAAAATGCAAGATATGCAGTTTAGTACAAAAACGTTTCAATAATGTCATTCCCCTTTGGAACGTAGGAACAATACATAGTGAAAAATACCTCCAACTTTTTTCACTCAGTCATTTTGACACTACACTAAATCACACTTGAGTCAGTCTTATCTCCGGCAAGGGGGGAAATATGCCTCGTCGAGGGGGTCTTGGCTGCCGGGGTTTTGGGGCTCTTGTGGTCGGACTGCGGCGGGGTCGGAGGGTACAAGTGCTCTTGCGATGATGAACCCGTGTCCTGTGTATTAGTGTGTTCTTGCAGCTGTAGAAACACTTTGTCCTGGAACATTGTGAATATAAATTGCGAATCTTTTAAAAGCGTATTTATGCAATTATTAACTCATAGCTAAGAAATTCTGGTATATTAATAAAAAAATACAATAGAAATGCATAATCATTTAAAGTATGATTAGATAGAGGGTTCTTTACGATAAATATAAATGACATTAAAGTAATAATTGGTGCATAAAGATTAAAAGGAGTTAATAAAATCTTATCCTGATTCCATTATCGCAGCCTTCTGAGAAAACAAGTAGAAACAGTTAAAATTCAAATCATTAAGTTAATGAATCGAACCAAAGTATTACTTATTTATTATCAGTATGTTTAATATGCTCATTCGCAAATTTGCTATTAAAATAATGAATTCCTTTACAAAAAAACGTACATACAAAGCAGTAAATTGATGTAATTCCTGTGCATCCGATATTGAAGTCATGGATACTCACAAACATGTCCAAGGTGACGTTGTGCGCCTGGATGCGATGGCTCTCGTCCATGTTGAGGTCGGGACAGATGAGCGAGAGCTCTGCCGCTCTCTGGACGTGCTCTCCGTCCCCTCCCCGCACCACACACTCCGCCCCCTCCGCCCTCACCCCCGCCGCGAACGCCGACATCCAGCGGTGGCAGCTCTCCAGCGTTTCCCAGCTGTAGCCTGGATTCACATTCAAAACATTTTTGTACAGCGAAAGAAACAGATCTATTAATTACAGAGCATTTAGCGATATGTTCACTGTCATACCTATTAAAACCAGTATCATAAAAATTAAATCTCTATACACAAGTTCAATTTAAATATAACAATTAGTTATGATTATAATTAAAGAATCATTTCTTTTGATTGGATCTGACGAACTAGGCTTAGTTTACTCAAATTCGATTAAAGCTATTAAAAAAATTATATCAAACAGAAGTCATTTTAAATCACAATTTGATAAATATTAAAAATATCAAGATATAAACAGCTAAATTCATCTACTTGCCAAAACCAAGTACTACCAAAAATTATAAAATTTGAAATGCTGAATAAAAAAAAGGTTACTTTAAAAAATTAAAAAAAAATCGTAAATACCTGACACCCTCAAAGCCAAGTCTCGTGAAAACGCGTGCGCAATGGCCGCAGCCGCGATCGCACTATTCGCGAACTTATTTACGTCCACGTGCAACACCGCCAGGTCGACCAGCTGACCGCAGACTACGAACTCCAGAGACGAATACTGCGGGAATACGAATGTGTAGCCCCGTAACGCGTTCACGCCTACTTCTTTTTCACCTGTAAAATAAAATATAATAGAATTTTAACTAACCAACTAAAATACGTTTTAAAATAATTTCTTAGATTACATTTTTAGGTTTTAGTTAAATAGCTATTACTCGGCATGTGTTGACGATAAAATGAACATGCGGCATCGAAATCTCCAGGATTTTTCAGACTAAGTTACTGAATAACTTAAAACCTGGTGAGCTTTCTGTGGGTTTCCTCACGATGATTTTCTTCACCGTACGAACGACTGTTTATTGCGCACACAGAAAGAATGAACTAAGGGTTACGCGTTCGTTAGAAGTGTATCATATAATTATTGGAATTGGATAATATTCGAGTATGATTGATGCAGCGAGCATGAGTGCTAAACTTCGTAAATGTATCTCTTTGATCCTTTTTAAATTTTGGATATGTATTCAGCTTCAGAAACAATCAAAATTTCATCATAACCGGTTTAGTAGTATTTAAACATTCACGTATATCAAAAGGAACAATAAAAGTAAAGGTAAGCTGTAAAAATTAATTTACATTTTTAGTTGTAATGTATTCAAAGTAAATTTAATTTTATATTAACGTATGTTTAAACAAAACAATATGCTTACTGTTAATTTTATTTGTAGAGATAAAAGATCAATAGTTTGATTTTATAAAGTATCACGAGCTGACAAAGGCAAGAAATGTGTAAAGAAACGCAATTCTTTTAAAATAATACCTATCAGTCTTCTTTTCGCGCTGCGTCCTTCACTGGCGAGTTGTAAGTAAATGTTAAGCCAGCTATTAATAGTTATTGGTGTGAGACTCCACGATAAAATTTTGAGTACAAGTTGTTCCTCTAAAAGTATTTCATCTGTGGTACACGAGCCATCTGTGACGTATGCGAACTCTGTAATCTTTGGTGGGTAAACTTCTTCTATTTTGGCTGCTATAAATAAACAGGTAATACCTGAAAAAAGAGTGTTTGTTACTAAAAATGTTTTAATTTATTACTTTATCGATAATTTCATTCATTTATACAAATTTTCAATTAAAATATATCCAAAACGGATACACCATATACAGACAAACATATATTCTAACAAAGGCAATGTACTAATAATTCACTTGTTGAGGTGTGTGTGGGGATGGGTGCCTTTTAGGTGATCTTAAAAATAAGTGTATTGACGTATTGTTTTAGTAACATCGTCCAGTTTTTAGAGCGAGATGTTTATCGGACTATCTGGCCGACTTGTATGCTCAAATCATATATATTTAGTTTAGTTGTGTAACATCGCTTACCTATTAACTGCAAACATCCTTTTTGCACGTCTGCAGTATTTGAGAGATATCTATCTATATAATCCACTGTCAGGTGAAATGTTTCTCGGTGAAGTTTATAAACTGCACATACCTGGAAATAAGTATGATTATTTCTAGCTGAATGTTAAACATCGAAGTTATGTATTTAATTTTAAAATAAACGAGGTAAATATCATAATACATAGCTATGTTTGTGGTAAATAGACGAACGAACTTTTAATAATACATATAATATTTACGTTTTAATATTTAGTAAATAATTCGTTGGAATCGAAAATATTCCTGTACCACCTCTGTATTTGTAGCTTTTCAAGACTCAAATACGTGGTCTACGAAATGCTACGAGGCTACGGATCGTAGCTTGCAATATAAAAATAGAGATAAAGAGTCCCCATTTGAAGTTAATTCCCTTTATAAAATCTATATTAATATTCAAATATATACAAAAGAGTACGTAATAATAATTTGAGTAAGCTGATAAAATGTGTAATTGACTAAAACGTAAGTATGAACAATGAACGAACACTATTATGTGATAACAAAAACCGCATTCGTGTCCGCACTAACACAATAAAAAGTAATTTATTTTTTGACAAAACTAAACAGATAAGTTTATATACGAGGCAACATCGTGTTAGCCACATGTTTAAGATAAAATTTATTCAAAAAATAATTAACGTAGTAATTGGCTATTTAATATATATAGACCTTACCATATATATAGCCATATATGTAAGTATGCGTTATATTATTTATTAAATTATAATCTTAATCAACGTCACAAATAAAATTAACTTTACTCTCCATTAAACAACTGTATAATTGGAGACTGGAAGAAACATTAGTTATATTGAAATCTGAATTATTTTATTTAAAATTTTGGAACACAGCGTAAAAGTTAAAATAGCTACGTAAAAGACTTCGGACATTTAATTGCAAACTATATTTAGAATGCGCGAATACGATTTGAGTGGAGACCTGGGTAATTGGTATCATCCGGAAATAATCACAAGGTCGATTTTTTTTTGCAGGTTTAGTATGTGATAGCAGTTTTATGAACAATCAAAATAATGAGGCCATTACACATTTTAATTGAACGAGAACGAATTGAATTGCCAGTATTTTTATACCACCTGTTCGAATAGTAGGTTCATTCGACAAGGCAAGAAACTTAATAGTAAATATTGTGTATTCAATTTTAGAATTGATGGATGATAACTTTAAATTCGACGTATAATTTTTCTAATAAGGGAATTTGACACTTAATACAAATTGCTTTATTTCAAGATATCGCACCTCGCAAAGTCAATAATGAGATATGTGAAAAAAACATATTATTGCAATAAAAATGTAAAGCTAGGGAAGAGATTACTGGTGAATATTAGTAGTATCAAATGACATTTATTAATTTTTCTAGGCATAACAATAGATAGTAAACTCCAATGGTGCCCACACATAGAGACTCTTTCGAATAGGCTGAGCTCTGCAGCATATGCAGTAAAGAAAATCCGACAGTTTACTGATGAGGACACGGCTAAAATTGTGTACCATAGCTACTTTCATAGCGTTATGTCGTACGGCATTTTACTGTGGGGTGCTGCTGCAGAGGTTCAATCCATATTTGTGCTGCAGAAGCGGGCTGTTCGGGGTATTTGTTGTGTTTCTCCGAGGGAGTCGGTACGGAATAAGTTTAAGGAATTAAATATTATGACACTATCTGGTCAATATATTCTTGAAGCCTTGTTGTATGTCCAAAAAAATATAAACGATTTTAAAACAAATGGTGACTTTCACCAGTATAATACGCGAAATAGAACTAATTTGAGTGTACGACCAACCAGGCTCCAAAAGATAAACCACTCCTTATATGGAAATTGTATTCGTTTTTACAACAAGCTCCCAAGCGAAATTAGAGAATTATCACTAAATAAATTCAAAGCCCTCGTTAAACGAAAATTAATCAACAAAGCTTTTTATAAATTTGAGGACTACTTAAATGAGCCTAATCCTTGGGATTGAATTGCTCCAGTTCAAACAATTTGTATGACAATACTTGGCGATTAAAAAGAGTGGCGGAAAGTTTCTTGCCAGTTCTTCTTACCCGCTCTACGCCCTTGACTTGCGAACTGGTAGTAAATGTAAATTTACGATTAATTTAACTTGACGATTCAAAAGTGTACTTGGTTACCTACTTGAATAAAGATATTTTGAGTTTGAGTTTGAGTTACCGTAACATTTTTCAGGGACAGTACTCGATACTCGAAGCGTTTCTATAGAAAAAAAAGAATAGTCCGGTTTCTCTAAAGCTTTAAACGTGTAAAAACTTGTTCGATATTAGAAAGTACTATAAAAGCTAGCTTGAAAATGAAAGGAATTTAGAATTTATACATGAATCGGGGCTCTCGCACCGCCGACAGTGGTGAATTACAAATTAGGCATTAAAATGACTCCATATGACGTTTTTGCAAGTAATATATACCATATTTGGGGTTACAAAATATATTCTACGTAGTAAGAGCATTTTGTTAGCTGACTAGGCGCACGAAATTCAAAAATCATTGAATCATATAGGTAACATAATGTACACTTATGATCGTCAAAAAAGAAATGTATATGAAATGCTTCTAACTTTATATTTAGTGCCAGTTCTCAAATCAAGGGCGTAGAACGGAAGAGAAGAACTGGCAATACACTCTCCGCCACTCTTATTATTTGCCACCTATTTTTATTACACAACGTTTGTAAGGAGCTGCAACCATTACACCCATGTTCCACATGACATGTTAAGTAATTAATAATAATAACATAAATTAAAAACAAAGACTTGTCCTCTATCAGCAGGAGGCATGGTGAAATAGTAGCACGCACATTCTCGTGGGAACGACACGCAAACACATAGTTGAAATAACTAATATCACCGCATACACGAATTCAAGTACGACCAGTCACCACAAATAGCACCCGTTCACAACCCTTAATCTTGAGGTCTTGCGTTCGAATCCCCGGCTATGCGCAGTTGTCATTGCGCACATAGAAAACGCAGCACAATTGGTGAAAAAAAAATCCTTCAATCATTCACCAATGATTACATCACCGAAGTACTCTGAAGTCTAAGACTGACCTTGGCCTATGGGAGAATGCTTGTTGGTTCGCCAATAATATGACACTTATTACTATAGTATTATTTATATATGAGTAGCTACAGTAGTTCTTCATAATGTTATGATATCGTATGCCCCCATATTAATAGTCAAATACAATAATAGTTAAATACATTCCGAATTCCACATTCAATACGGGTGTAAACTTTATAGGTGTATTATCGTTGTAAGGATCATTGATAGATTTAGCCATAAATAAAAACCGAAATATTTTAAGTATACACTTCTGAGTAGATTTTTATGCAATTCACACAAATATCTTTTCGTAATTCCCACGTAATTAGGCATTTAATTATACGAGCGTGACTTAAGATCGCATCACAAAAATTTCGTTAGTTTCGCCCCATAGTTTTAAGTCAACCCTCTTCGCAGCAACCCCATCGTTTAAAACCGGATGGTTTAGTTGACGTTGGTATGTTTTATAACTTGTGAAGCATTAGTTACGCTTATAATAAACAAAACGGAAATTAACGTTGAGGAAAGATATTTGAATTAACAATTACTTGCACTAGACTATTTGGAGCACACTTCGCAAGCTGAAATTATGAATTTCACGAGTAATCATTTATTGAATTTTTCTTTAACTAAAAATATTGGTTTGGTACGCATCCTGCTAACTCATTTATATCAGACATATGTGTGGCTTTCTGCCTCACTGGGTATCGTGACAATACGTCATATAAATTATTATATAGCTATCTAAGAATTACGTAATCGCTTTTACAAGGGAGATAAACATATGGCCGTTCCAGTAAATAACAATAGGGATCTTGGGTTTTGGGTATAATGTTGTAAAAAAGGTACAAAGACACCGTTTCTGCGAAGGTCTGACCGTTACTCAAGTTTTAAAAGGTTGGGATAAGAAATGGTGATTCTAGTATTTCCCATATCGACAAGCAAGAATATATTATGATGTTGTTTAATGATCAGATGCCTGTGCAAAATTTGGTTCGATATATGGTGATTTGTCCGCCTCCATGAACTAATTTTCTTATATGTGTAATAGTAAATGGGTTGGCCCAAGGACCTAGAAAGAAAGGCAGACCGAAAGAGCGGTGAAAGGGAAGCTGGCAAAAATTAGATACTGACGGCAAAATATTAATAGGAGGAAAAAGTATACGGAGGCCGCATCTTAGAATAAAACAATTATAATTATCTTTCCTTTTGTATAATGAATGTAAAATGTGGATAAATAAATTATATGCTTCTAATAATAAATGTAATTTTTCTATCGAATTAAGTGATGAAATGTCAAACATCAGCAAAATAAAATCTTAAATGAGGTTAGTTACGTTAACAAATAAATGAGGTCATTGCAGCGCATTGAAATTTTTTTGATGATTAAAATAAATATTGTTTTGGATAGAAAAATAATATAAGATTTAATATCTAATAAACACATATGATTTGTTTGTCATTAATAAATTTCAACTTTTTAACTGTTTATAATTATTATTTTACCGTTGGCAATTTACACAAACCTGTAACAGACCGCATGTATATTAAAATATTATGAGCGTTAGAATTCGGACTCGAAAATTTTGAAAATTAATAGCTTCCTTAATTAATAAAAAATCGTCTTAGCGTAAAGATAGCCAAATTAGTCGCGGTTTTAAGAGTACACACAACTTAAACCGTTTCAAAACAGTAATGGGTACAGAGTACGATATACTATAGAATTAAATACTTCCATGAAGTAAAAACTATATTTTTAAGCCAAAAGCAATAGAACTTGCAAATATATAGGTGTAGCTGGTGCTTCAGGTCATTGAACGGCGCAAAAAGGGGTCATTGCTCCGTATATTACTGTACCCTACACTTTTGAAATCATCCCATGTTTGACTATGTAACATTAGATAAATATATTCTTCACGACATTATGGGGTTAGTCACGTATCAGAAGATATATATCCGTTATTAAATCTTTCAGATACCAAAGCCAAGGTCTACGAAAGTACTAACGGTAAAGAATACGGTTATTCAATATAGAGCCGATTTTTTTACTCCTCGTATTTCGGTCCGCATGTTTAATTACTATAAACTACTGCACAAAAAAAGTGTAGTATAAACAAATCCACCAAAATAATCATGGAAATTGACGAAATAATTTTTTTTAAACAATTTTCTAGAATTATGAAACTCCAAAAAAATAGTATAAACATTTAAATCTATTGAATTAATGACGACATAGAAATCAAGTGGATTTTTTACAAGAAATGACGTTAGACAAAATCCTACGCCTTACAGCGAATCGTCATTCAATGAAACTAATATGAAGTTGACTTAAAAACACATAAGAAATAATCCTCTACGTTATAAGTTCGCGATAGATTATGGGGAGAGCCCAAACCAATAATTTATCAAGGTTTCACAAGATTTTTAGCACGATCAACAACTTTATCGCCCACATGCGCAAGACGAAATTATCACGTTAATTGTCCTATAAAGCTTAGATAATATTTTTTTTATTCATGGTAGAGACAATTTCGTGCCATAGTTCAAGACATTTTAAAAAATGATGCCCATCTAAATGACGAACTTAATATCTATTGTGTCAGACATATTGCATACGTTAATAGTCCACAAAAAATGCCAGTATTCATGTCACGCAAGTAAATCCAGATCCTTAAAACGAAACTCACCTTGCCTAAAAAGCAGCATGAAACAAAATAATTAAGTAAGTACCTTGTATCAAAAAGAAACAGGAATTTTCATTATACCCTTAGCTATAGAAATTTAGAAACTTCCCCCTTATCAAGCATTTTAATGTGGCATAGAGTTAATTTAATTTATGAGAGACTATGATTGTAGTTTAGATATTAAAATGGACTTCATAATACAAAGTATATTTCATTGGGGCTCCCCCATTGGGGGACAATCCTCTTGTTTACTTCCTGAATTCATGGAATTTCTACTACTAATACATGACACAGATAAAAAGTGATTATTACTTATCACTTGTTTTAAAATGATAAAACTTAATAATAATAGGCGTTTAAACTATTATTTACTTGACTTTTGACATTACCCATTTTACCTGTTTACTCATACCACACAAAATAATCTAAATCACAGTAATATTAGAGGGAAACAGTTATAAAATTGAAATAAGTTCCTTACCTCATTCAGCCAGTCCAGTAAGATGGCTCTCATCCTTGGTTGGAGATTGGGGTGATTATCAAACATATTAGGATTCTTCTTCATGGCAGACCTGGCATCACAGTCACACATATTCTTCCACACATCAGCCGGGTCTGCCCAGGACAACCCAGGCAATGGACACTTGCGTTTTGGAGGTGATGGACATAGTATTTTATTACTGCTGTAAGAATTATCAATCTCAATATTATTCAACAGTGCATCAATTAATTTGACTCCTCATGCAGTTCCAGAAAATTCAATTGCATTAAAGATAAACAAATATTCCTTTGAGATCTTATTAAAGCTCCTGAATTGTTGAAAAAATAAATGAAATTAAAGGTAGTGGAATTTATTTCTCTTGAGTTTTAATCTTATAATGCCAAAGTATGAAATGGTATTTATGAAATACCTTTGTGTTTACCTGGCTCTTTTATTAGAGTGTGGAGTAGAGTCTCCTCTAGCTACATTTTCAAGAGGGCTAAGGACACAGTTTGGTAGGTCAGATATGCTCGGTGGGCTAAGAAAACTGTCTGCATTATAATCTATGTCCGTGTAGACATGATTGGACTGGTCTGCGCTTCCATCTTCATCACTGGAGCAGGATGATGATTCAACAACTACATTATGAGCAGGCTGATCGAAGAGCTCTTCAACTTCTTTGTATGATAGTTTCATGGGAGGCATGTTCTCAACCTGTTATAAAATTATTTTTTATCATAATGTTCAAGTGTGAACTAAGTAATATTGAGACAAGCAATTTGCATACCTCATCATCTGTTGAATTTCTTTTTCTTTTTAAATTTAATCTCTTATCCTCTGTATCACAGGAAGAACTGCAATAAAAGAAATAAGTAAACAAAGTTCACCAAAAACGAACTTAACTGCACTGTACTTGTTCACTTATACATACCCTGCTTGGGCCATTGTAGATGTTGATTCACAAACTGAGGCCCTTCCTGAAAGAAACACATATTCATTAACCAACTGTAAACTTAGATAGAATAGTGTTAGGATGATTTAGAAATTATAGGTCAAAATATACCGCATGTCACCATCCAAATTTAAAATAGGGTTATGTCATTTGACAACCATTTTAATGTGTACTTTACCTTAAATTATTAAACGTCCTTAAGTTACACGCATAAGAAACTCTTAATTTATTTAAATAACCGTTCACAACATTAAAAAAATAAGGGCTGTATGCGGGTCTACAGGCAGCGTGCCCCCTGGAGGTTGGCGGGAGAAAATTTTTCAAGACACATTTTAGTACGTTATTACTAGTTTAATTTTATAAATTTTGTTATTTATAGTCGCTTCGATACTTGATTTAACATTTATCGTAAAGAAAATGTGAAATCTTGTTAATCAGCTGGCGTAAAAAATGCCACGAATCCGTCACAATCGCGCGCGAAATCCTCCCGTCAGCGCCATTAGACACGTCGCTAGCTTGGGTTTCTGTGCCCATCCACATTAGGAAATTGATAAAAATAGAACATCCCAGCCATTACCTGATCATTATAATACTAGTTGGTAATTTAATCACTACTAACAACCCCTAATTACTATAAGAAAACCACAATCATTGCAAGTATAATTGGCTTGGCTTATCGACCTCCAAAGGTTTTTAACCTAATTATACAGTAATGACCACAAATCGTATTGAATTAACTTCACATAATGATTAGCGAAATATTAAAGAACTTAATTGATGATTATAACAGTACCTTGTCATTCACAAATTCAAAGTAAATCCTTAAAGCAAAATTTCCTTAATCACTACACTTGAAGATTCACTTTTTGGCACTAAATCACAAGTTTTTATTCAAATGTTTACCACTAAGACTGTCCTAAGTAAGAATGATTGCAAAAATATTACTTTCAGTGTAATTTTTATTACTTTAAACCTTTATTCAGTTTTTTACGGATCGATAACGCCCGGCATTCCGCGCGAAAATGTCGCGGTAAAACTTTGGCCTCCTAGAAGCTAACCGTTTACTAACTTCACGTTTGTTTCTCCCTGAAAACATATGTCACAACAAATCTGTTCCGTTATACAAGCCTCGACAATAAAAGCGAATACTTTGACACATAATTATATAAAAATATGTTTATAATAATAAATGATAAAATCTTTTAACAAATATTGTATGTGATGTAGTGTTTTTTTTAATCAAATAATTCACCTAAAGGGATTAAACAAATTTAAATAATATATTTAAACTTTGAAATAGTAAATTAATTTTTAATTTTTCTTTTAGAAGATACTTTTTAATATTTTAGATGTTCCTAAATAATAAATTAAATACACGCCACGTTGACCACGTATATTGAAACATTTTGCATAGTTGAATACTTATCATTCATTGGTCAATGGTGATGTTGGCTCTATTGCTTATTGCCTGGCATCAGTTTATATTGTTGGTAGCACTGTTTGGGCCTATATTCACGTATGTGCTCAGCTGGGCACCAGCTGATAGGAAATTGAAGAGCGTAGCTGATAATCGATATCATGTACATTCTGTTAAATATCAAACATATTTAATGCTATTATAGTTTACTGGTGCTAATTATTACAGTAAATTTCTTTTCTCCACAAATCTATTTTAAAGATGTCAATTCAAAACTTAGCTGTGAAGCTATGTGGTGTCTTACAATCACAAACTGATGAAGGTAAGTTTTCTTAATAAGAATACGAATATTTATTAATATTGATCTATGGCTTTCTAATTGTTTTTATTTAATTTCATTGTAGAAGTAACTGCACGTGAATGGCGCTTAGTTGGTCAAGAACAAGATGGGTCCCAAGTATTGACATGGATTTCGAATCGACAAAACAAAGATGTGTTGAATATTGGCGTGTATACTAACAAGACGAAAACATTAAAAAATCTCTATACATTTGAAGATAAAATCAATATTATACAGGCTTCTGTAAATTCATCACATACTTTGGTTGCATATGTAGTAAAAGTTTTTTCTGCGGATTCAAAGGATGAAGCTCTTTACTGTCCATTCTTAGTTGGTGTTTTACCAGATAAAATAACAGGCCCCGAAAGGATCGAGGAGGGTTCAACTAAACAGATAATGGTCCAGTATGTGTATGGAAAGAGCATCAAGTACAGCCCTGGGATTAGAAATGACAGATTCATTCTCTTTAAACACTTGGAATGTAAGTATTTGGATTTCAATTTATAGTTAAATAGGGATATGGCCTACATTCTATACTTTATTAAGAGAATTGTTTATTTTTTAAAACTAGTGTAAAAAAGATGTTTGGTCATTACAGGCATTAAAATCTATAGAACACCAATGTTTCTTAATGAATGTGATGATGGGTCAGAGAAGTGGGGATTTGATGGAATTTATCCAAATCCAGAAAAAATTGTAAATGTCTTTTCATGGTCTCAATGGGATTGCCTCAATCAAGTAAGTTATATGTATTTATAGACCCTTTGCAATAAGGCAGGAATCTTTTAAACATCATGAGCTAATACCACTTTTAGGGCAAATAAAGGATTAATTATTAATTTATTTTAGCTTATTTAATCTAACCATATAAAAAAACAATCTAAAGAATTTACCTTATAAATAAAGATAAAAAAATATTGTTTTACATTTACTCAGTTTTAAATTATATCTATTAGTTAATGCATAATTATCATTACACCAGTATCATAAATTAATTAAGAGGGTCTTAAATGACCACCCTAATACTTCATATTTCCTACAATTAAATAATGAGTTTAGACTATATTTTAGTACTCTGTTCTTAGTACATTGAACATTCATATTAATTTATTATTTATGAATTTATTATATATTAGTCAAGTAAAACTAAATTAATAGAAGGAAGTAATAGCTAAATTATCTAGATATTTTTTAAAATTGCATTAGTATTTGTGTGATGACATGACACCAAATTTTTATTTTAAGCGTATTAGACTCTTTAACACAATTTGGCATTGTGAATAGGTTTATGACAATATTAATCATTTTAAAGAGTTGTTAGTTAGAAAGTACTAGTTTGTGTATAAGTTATATTTTTGTTTATAAAAATACTGCCCAATAATAAAAAAAAAACTCTCCTAAGGTCTGTGTTTTAAAAAAGTCAAAGTCTTATATTATGTGAAAAACGTCATGTTTGTTTCACTTACAGAAGACTTATGTGCTTCTGAAAGGAGCTAGGCTGGCTTAATTAGCCAGGACTTTACGCACAGCAGAGCGAGTATGAGTCTAAGTGTGGAAATTGAGTTCCACCAACCATACCATACCATATACCAAATTTTCTCACTTTTACGAAATAATAAATTCAAAAATAACCCTAGATGTATGTTGTAGGTACTATTCTATATCCACTACCGTGCACCAGCCCCAAGTTTCGCAGAAGAAGAAGATGTGAAGACTCCAACGGAACTCACTCCAATGTTGTCTGCGCTTCAGTTTCACGCTGATCTGCCTCACGAGACGGTGGTACGTGAACTTAGATTACCTTAACATTACATGAGAATGTAGACGTTCTTATTCAAAATGCGTAGAAAGAACGTACCTATCCATGATAATAGGGGCCTCATTATAATACATTATTTTCAAGTATACTTTTGCTATTTATTAAAATATCAAAGTCAGACGGAATAAATTTATTTTTAAACTATTCACTATGAGTAGACAATGTCATTGACGTTCACCGTGTTAAATATGCGTAGAAACGAATAGGAGACATCTCCACACTATGTTTATGTAATGTTTGGAAATAATGGTAAAGAAATGTTAGGTATATAACAAAAAAAAATAAGATTTCTTTTGGTATTTAGTTGCTTAGCATTCTTTCCGAATAACTCCACTTATTTATAAAATCTAAGGTTTACACTAATTTTAACTAAAGTCCTATTTTGTCTATTTCTGTCTTAATGTGTTTACACTGTGATGGAAAGGGACAGGTGAGTTTTAGAAAAAAATTGTGCAATAAGACACAATTTTTAGGTGGAAGGATATATATTTCATGAATATTATTATTTATATTCTATTTTATTAACAACGCAAAAGTTATTAATTAAATATATACCTTCTCCTTGCCTTGGCAGGTTGCGAGACTATAGATTTTCAGTAAATTATACTGATTTTTATTTTAGAGTAACACTAAACATAAAAATTATTAAAAGTTATTAACTGTAGCTGTTTGAAATAACTACAGCTAAAATAATATTTGCCTAAGAGCTATTAATTGCAACGTAATTTCTTATTGTGCTAAAATGGATAAGCTTATGATTTTTTCAAGCTGAATAAACGCTATAAATTTGTAGTTGAAGTACCTACCAACATATTATCAAAAAGTATTGGTTTTTATTTTTATACCTTTACTACACGTTATTTTCATATATCTGTAGATTATACATTTTATTCCATGTGTATACTATATTAATACAATGTTCAAATCGTAATTAGTTCTACCTGTTGCGTTCATACGCGAAATAATAATCATAATAATAATTATAAAGTCTTTATTCATGCACATCTTATTGACATACTATAAAAAAAAAAATTTTTTACTCTAAGATGCGGCCCCTGTCCGTGAGAAGGCCTCCTCGAAATGTAGACCCTATTTTACCCTATTTTATTTTGTGCCCTCGTCATCCAATTTTTTCTAGCATCCCTTTCGATCCCGTCGGCCCATCCCTCTATTGGTCTGGCATTGTTCCTTTTGGAGCAGTCCTATCGGTTACTGTTTTAGACCATCTGTCATCTGTATAACGCGCTGAACATACGCGTAATGCAGACAAATTAATGGATCGATTTATATACTTATTTTGTAATAAAAATGCCAACTTATTGAGTAGTGTAACACTACTACGATAGGTGTTTAACTTGTTTCTGAATAAGTGTACTGAAAGAAATATAATAACCTTTTATTTGGAAAGGCTCCTCAA